GACTTTCCCGTTGAAAGAGTCGAAAGTTAAAGTTGTTCTGAAAGTGGCAGAGAGGTGGAGCGGCAGCTTGTTACCAGACTGAGCATGGAGAGTTGTTTACGGTTTGTTTACGGTTCCAGAGTTGTTCCAGAAGAGTTTTCAACTACTTCCTCAATTTCACACATTGACCATTAACACTCGAGCACCAATACAAGGTTTTGACTCGGTCTCGTCTTGTAAAACAAAGTGTAGTAAAAAAAACTAATTGCATGAAATTGAAAGTACAAAAGTTTATTCTTATTCTATTTGCTTTATGAGGTTCACTGTGGTTTCAGCTGAGTATCTGTACTATACAGAGAGACAAAAAGAGGACACAACCATAAATCAGCTCGCTATATTAAAATGAATAAAGGGAAAACAGCATGGAGGGATAAGATTAAATACCTCCTCAGTGAACAAACCAAGGAGCTGAGTTTCCCAATTAGTTTTGATTACTCAAGCAGGAACACAAACTTTTCCAGTTGACCAAAGAAAATGTGTCGGAGGTGCCTTTCAGTTTCAAGCCCATTGCACCTGAGAATTGGGTAAAAGTCGAGAAAGCAAAGAAAAGAAAACCTGTAAGTCTTTTCTAAGTCATATAGGTGGGGGAGGGGGAGGGGGGGGTGCATAGATGTTGTAAGAACAATCTCGAGAAGAACATTTGCTGTCTAACTTTGAGTCAGATAAGAAGATGTCATCTCTGAGATAAGTGTGGAATACAACCGTCAAAGAGTTCCTTTAAAATGTAAGTATCTGGTTTTGCCAGTTTCTTGGTAATCTGTCCAGTTTGGAACAAGCAAGCAAACGGTGACGGGTGAAAACATAACCACGTGGGTGGAGGTAATACAACCAGATAACTGTGTGTGCGACAAGACATCTCAGAAAATAACTTCTCTCTGATTCAGATGGACCAACCTCTGAAGTGGGATCCTGCACCGCACCTTTACCACAGCACAGCCCTTTTCATACATAAGTGATGATCAAAGAAACCCTTCTGCAGTCCAGACACTAACAAGAGGTCATGAGGATTCTCCAGAGCGTCTCAGGGAGCTCGTCTGTTTGGACTCATCATCAGAACGGACTCCAAACCACATATGACTGAATCTTTAAGGGTTGCCATTCGCCTTGCAGGCAGCCTGCACAGCCTTCGTAAAAAAACATTTTTTAAAAAGGCTTCAGGCTTACAATACTGTCCCTTCATGTGTGCCATGCTAGTGTGAGACGAGGATGAAGCAAAACAAACACATTTGGTTAAACAATGAAATTTGAACTGTGTGTCTATCACTTGCTAGTGTGGCCTGTGCATCTGCGTCTGTGGTTGTTCCAGGAGACGCAGTAAAAGAGGATGTTAATGAACTGCTGTCACACGTAGGCCTGTGCCTTTGAGGCAGCAGTCAGGATTCTCCCCACGTATTCTGTCTGTTTGCAGTGTGGAGGCTGTGATGTGCTGCCTGACTGCAGAGAGTTGCTCGCGGCCAGACAGAAGGGGACCGATTCAGTACAGGGGGTCCCTGCTGCGGTCCCACTCTCACCGGCGGAGCAAAGGCTCGGCTCCCCGTGTGTGTGTGTTTTTCCCCTTTGTCTGAGATGCATGTTTACTCATGTGCAGGTGGACTAACTAGCAGGAAGCATGTGTGACTACATGTAACGTACATTGGGACTGCGGAAGCTCCCTCGTGTAGATTTACTACTTGCTAAGATTTGTAACACAACAGAGAACGACGGCAAGGGAAAACCAATGTGTGTTTGTGTGTTGGATGTGTGTTGGTGAGAGCGACGGAGCCAGTCCGCCCGCTGATCTCTCCTGCGATCCGCCACTTCTTCACCCTGGGTAGTGTCAGAATGGTTTGGGCGCCCGCTGTGCCACCTGTCAGCCCCAGCCCAGAGGCTCGCTGCCCGTCCAGCTCCCCGACTCCAAGGCCCAGCCTCAATTAGATTGATATCGCACAACCAGGATTCATTTTTCCTGCAGGAGATTTCTCTCTTTCAGTACATTATCTTTTACCTCTCCACGAAAACTCAGTGCTCATCTCCAAGTATGATTTCACCGCAGAAACTGCTCTGCATTATTTGACTTTTAAATCTTTGCCTGGACGCAAGGGATGGGAACCCCCCCTCCCCCTTGTCAGTGCAGCTGCTAACGACGTTATCACAGAAACTCAACTAGGGTACCCCTTGAAGGGGAATTTGGGGACTCTGTTGTAAGCATGACATCTGGCTCCACCAAACATCTGAGTAAGCAGATTGGTCCTGCAGGCCTGGTGTGACAGCCGATGAGAAAGCTGGGAGATGTGGGAGAACCGATCTGCACAGCTCTGCTGCTCAAGCTGTCACTTTAGCTTGGCTTGGCACAGTTAGATTCTCCCTGGCTCTGAAGCATTAGGCCAACTCCTCTGACTGCCGCTGCCCTGCCGGCACCGAGCCAAGTCTTTCATGGGGGAGCTCGATCATCACCCTCACTCTTTCTTTTTATCCTCTCCTTCTCCTGCTCAGTCTCTCAGCAGGGCGCTAGCTTATTTTTTCCCCTTCTTTTGTCCTCCCCTGCCTCTTTCTTATCCCATCCACACCAGAAGCTGCAAAATGGGATCCATTGTAATTTGCCATTATTTACAATTCCCAGTTTCAGTAGAGTACTCCGAGGTACTCTCTGCTCTCCTCTCCCCATCTCTGTTCTTCTTAAGTAGGTGTTCAGTCATGCGGAAGTCACTTTAACCACCAGGATCCACCGCAAGGATCACTTCATGTTAAGATGAGCACTTTAACATCCTCAGCGAGACGACGTAACCTGCGTGTACAGTAATTATGCGTGAAGCTGAGAAACACTGCAGTGGCAGCTTTTTTCGTTTGGGCTGATTGAGTAAAAAATCATTGGCTATGTTTCCATAAACAGCAATATTCTGACTATAGACCGTATTTCTAATGAGACATTAGTAGATCATGAGGTTCTAGTAGAAGATTCCGTTCATATTAGCCTCGCATCATCAAACCAGTTGGTATCTGCTGAATGTTGATGTCACAAAACGCTGTAAAAACTCGACATAATGCAACAGTCAGAATATCACATCTCTGAATTTGATTATTGCTTATTCCAGGTATAATCTTATAAATTACAGATTGAGGACTATTAAGAAATAACTTATTTATCTAGATTTTCTCTTGTGCAGTAAAGAGTAATATGCTTTATTTTTTAATATTTGTCTTTTGATATTTGACACTGTAGAGATAAAACTATACGGATCAAAGTCGAGCAGCAGAAACATAACGGTAAACGTGTCTCATTTTGAATCCAGCCAAAGGAACATTTTGTGAACAGTAATCATTATTCCATCCAAGTATGGATGGAAATGAATTATTTGAGTCGGGTAATTACCCACTCACGACAGAATAAACTGTTCTCGCCTCAAATTTGCTGAAGGTCAGGGTGTCCTGTAGGACCAGTGATAGAAGTGCATGTATATAACCACAGTGTCCCGGGCTTTTATAATTGCCCTCCTCCTATATTTCATTCTACTCTAAATTGTCCACTGTTTAAAAAAGGCAACATTAAGACTGTAACAGTGTTTTTAAAAAGCCTTTTAATGTTTTGCCATCTTGTTTGGTTCCAGCTTTTTGCCTAAATAAAATATTAAATTGTTTTCCTGATTAGTCGACACCGAATTACCGAAATACCACACAAACTTCCAGTTTATCTCTGATGTTTTCTCCTCATCTTTGAGATGTTTCTCGCCCTGGATTGGAGTTAACTGTGGTAAATGGTATTGATCCAACATGAATTGACATTTCATGTAGGTCAAGCAGGTCATGTGGTGGATGAAACGAGCTTCCCAGGAGCACAGTGGGCTCCGTAATCCTTAAATGGAAGAAGTCTGAAACCAACCAGGACTAAGCCTGACAAGTCAAACTGAGCCATCGGGGGTGTAAGGCCTTGGTAACAGAGGTGACCAAGAGCCCGATGGTCACTTCATCTGAGCTCCAGAGATCGTGGTTAGACTGAGACCAGGCATCATGTCTGGTTTCCTCCGGACATGATGCTTAGAATTGAGGCCAAACAGTTCAGTCTTGGTTTTATCAGAGTAGAGAATCTCTTTTCTCGCAGTGACAGTCCTTCGGGATCTTTCATGTGTCATTCACTGAGGAGAGGCTTCCGTCTTGCCACTCTGCCATGAAGCTCTGATCCACGGAGTGTTGGACTTCTATGATGGCTATCCTTTTGGAAGGTTCTGCCTTTTCTTCCCAGGATCTCTGGAGCTCAGCCAGAGTGACCATCAGGAACCTGTGCTCTTGGGAACCATCAGTGCAGCAGGATTTTTTGTGTAGCTCTCCTCAGATCTGTGCCTCAACACAAATCCTTCCTCTGAGCTCTGCGGGCTGCTCCCTCCATGTCATGGCTTAGTTTTCCTTGTGTACTTACATGATTAAAAAAAGTTCTCCAACCCAGAGATATCACAAACGTTTATCAAGGTTGCAGGAGGTTACCTCGAAGAACCCACCACATTTTGCTGCAAGTTCAGTTACTTTATTTAGTTTTCATTGTCTTGACCATGGCCAGTGCTTATTTCAACATTTTCATTGATTTCTCAGATAAAGGTTCATGGATTTAGATGAAAAAAAAATCAGACATGCTTGTGTGACTGAAAATGTATGAGTTTGTGCAATTTGGTGCAGATTTAATGGATTTAATGTGGTTTCATAAAGAGATTGTTGAGCCTTGGGGGTGGTTCATGCCCTTCTAGTTTTTATTCGTTGGCAAACATTTTGATTATAGTTTAAAAGTTCAAAATAATAAATAATAAAATAAAATGCACTACAGATACACGTTTACACCAGTGGCTGAGTGTAGTTACTAGCACAGGGAAAACGTTTTCATGTTGTAGTTGTTACCTTTTCTGTTTTTGCGTCTGTGGTCATTTGTGTTTTTGCCAAACATACGCAGCAGATTTCACCTCCCATTTTATTTCTGTGTGTGAGATGCTAGTACTCACTTGTCGGGCCTGCCGGGCACCTGCAGGCGTAAGCGACATTTGTTAGCGCTCTGGATCTGCTCCTCTTTGATGCGAATGAGCCTCTGCAGAGCCAGACACCAGTCCTGGGCCACAGTGGTGTTCAGGTTCTTTGATGGGAGAAAACACACACAGTTAAATCTTGGTTTTCAGCACTCAGTCGGTCACCGAGCAGAAAAACAAGCACATGAAATGCATACTGAGCGCGAGGCTCTTCTGTAGATGCACTTCCATATTAATGGTCTCACGCGCAAACTGAGAAACAACAACACACCCGCTCAGATGAACTGCAGTGCATTATTTGAAGATACTACTTGTGGCGTTTTTATCCCCTCGAATGTGACGCCGAATTCACTTCAACACCAGCATCCATTCAACAGTAAAACCTGCTCCCTCAAGTCTAATAGAATCAAATCAATTCTGTGAAGTCAATGAGCTGTGCAGAAGTATTTCGTCTATTTGTTCGGTGGACAATATTATAACGGAGTGGAAAGTGAAAATCAGTCATTTAGTGCCAGGCCAATATCACTTCTCCTGAGGACATTGTGCTCATTAAGTGCAGGAAGGCAAAGGTGCCACCATTAGCCTGAGAGGCTCTTTGGTGATTGCTGGAGTGTACCTCCCTGGTCGTGTTATGTAGAGAATGGTACTGCCACTGCGTTGGCAGCGGACCACTGGGATGTGTCCCCATTTGATTGCTGCAGGAGGGGATCTGGTTGCCTTTACAACATAGCAAATGACTCGTCTATCAAATGTATCAGAGGGAACATCTCATTCCTACCAGTGTGACACTGCTGATGAGGAGTCAGATTGCAGACTCCATGCTTTCAGAAATTGATGATTCAAGGAGCATACAAGGCTGCACTTTGATCACATTTTAAACATCCAGAATCCATCGTGCAGAAAGAGATTTCCCAGTGGTTATCTTTGTACCATCCGAACTTGATCTCTTAAAGTTTGCACTGACTCCGGCAATTTAAATTAACTGTGCATACTCCAGTTTTGTCTTCAGTGCCTCTGCGATTCTTAGGTGTGTCCTCAGGACTTAAGAGCTATCGCGAGGTAAGCTGCAGTTAACAGAGTCCACTCCATATTTCATATATTTTCAGTCAATATCTTGGGATAACTGGCTTATAAATAATTTGTGATGCTGAAATCTGTTTTTAGAGGAGAGAATAGAACGTTTGAAGGTCAGTCTGTAAACAGACTTTTTTTTTTTAAAGAGGCCAATTTGAGATAAAGTAGCTTTGTTTTTATTCTTGAAACCAGAGAGAACAAAGCTGGCCTGTGTAGAGTTGTAACACATGTAATGAGTTTTGTGGCTTCAGCTGCAGAATCAGTTGGACTGAGACAACCTATGCATTACATGTGGTGTATGATGGGTAGGTTTGGGCCAAGAGACGTTAAACATGTAGAATAGTAACATGGGCATCATTAACTCATTTAGGCATAAAGCAACATATGAGTGTTGTTTGTGTGCTTCTCCATTTAGAGCAGGATGAGAAGTGAGCACGTTTTATATGATGTCATCTTTTTTTAAGACATACGATCTGCTGAAAGGCAAAGTGCATTATGTGAAATGTACTTTATTTGTCTTTCAGCAAGTTTTTAATACTATATTGTATTTCAGCAAAAAAATGGCTGAGATCGTCATTTTGAATCGATGTTGAAGCCGCTAACGTCCGTGTTCTATTGATGTAAACAGCGATAAAAAATATAAAAATGAAGAAGATTTAGACGCAGACGATGTTCCTGCTGACCCACTCAGTTGGTAACAGACTCACTCGAGGGGAGTCTCAACGAGTTTGCCGGCTTTATTGGTTTTTAAAAATGTTCATGGAGTTTAGGGAAAAGACAACTATTCTACAATAAAAGCTCAAAGTTTAAGCTAATCAAATATTTCTTTATTTAATTTCTCTTTTTGCTTCAGAGGCTGAGGCTGATAATTCTTGTTAAATTCTATCTCAGATTATTTGCTTTTTATTCCTATACATTACTCCGGTCCACTACTCAGTCTGTTAACAACTGCACCAGCTTGATTATAATCAGGGTGTCATTGTCGGTTGTAATATTTCAATTTATACGTCGTCAAATGCCAGTAACGTGCACATTGCTCTACCTGGTACGTCCCCTGCAGCGTGCCCACAAGCAGCGTGACCTCCTCCACCACAGAAAGGTCATGTTGTAGCTCCTGCAGCTCCTGGTAGAGCCGTGGAGGCCCCAGGATCACTTTACCTAAGAGATGACACGCAAGGAGTATTACAGACATAATAATAATAATAATAATACATTTTATTCATACAGCCCCTTAAAACATAAAAAGCAGCTCAAAGTACTTTCCAAACAAATCAAAAACATGAAATAAGACAGATCAATAAGAAAACAAAGACTTAAAGACACAAAGACATAAACTGACAAAAGGTATAAAAAGACGTATAAAAAAAATTCAACAGAAGTAGCTTGTTTGATGTGTGGTGGGACTTTGTTCCAAACCTTTGGTGCATAGCAGATAGAGTATAGAGTGTATTGGAATAATAGATATTCCTGTAAAAAAAAAAAACACTTATATACTGTTAAAGACCAGAAGGTCACATAGCAAGTTCCCACTGAAGCTCCAGTGGCAGAAATAAAAGAGGTTTGATGTGTAGATGGATCGATCCTCATTATTTGATGATGTGAAGTTATGAGTAAAAAAAAGAAGTAGATGTAGAAACTGTTATTCGGAGCTATGATGCCCTTTTGCTGGCCAAAAGGAATGCAGGTGTCTCATTAGACGCAAAATTCAGCATCGATTCGAGGCCCGCTACCTTCAAAGTCTCTCTCTCCTACTGCTGCAAATCGATAGCCGTGTCTCCTCCTGTCTGCCGCGCTCCGTCCCAGCTCCCCCTGGCCCGCATCTACCCGGCAGCAGGTTCCATGAGAAGCGCCTAATTAAATTCTGCTGCAAGATTTTGCTCCAGAGCTGTCCTGCACTGTCACCGCCGCCACATAATAGAGTAGTAGAAGAGCCCAGCCAGTAGGCGGGCTTAGTGAGGCATGCTCCCTCCGAGGGGACCCGTTACCTTTTGTCTAACCACGTGCATAAATGGAGTGAGAGAAAAGCCATGAGAGGGAAGGGAGTGGGGAAAAAATACGCGGGTAGGCTGGGATTGTTCATTCTAAAAGCTCCATTGTAGCATTGGGGGTTTAATGGGATTTTTGACACGGGCAGCCAGTGGCATCTGTCATCTGTGCAGGGAAATCAATAGGTGAGACATTTGAATATAAAGGGGTGTGTTGTGAGCAGCAAGAACAATGTCTTCCTGTGTGAAAAACCTGGACCCCTGCTCAGATTCGTCGACTCCTCTGGGGCCCGCTGTTGGCTACGGCCCGAGAGGTGAATGTGCTGAGTTGTAATCCAGCGTAATCCCGTTGGTGAGGCAGGATATGGTTTTCACACTCAGACACGGCTATCCACGCCGGCCGCCAGGCACGTATAGCTCGGTGTGGTGTGGAAGGCCAGAGCCCAGAGGGGTCTATCCCTGCTCTCTCCGGAATAAGTCAGCAATCTTAGCGGCTGTGCCAGTGACGCTTGTCAGTGGATTTAAAAGACAATGCAGCTTCAGCACCTGCATCAAAACCCTCCACTGATCCGCCGCCAAAGCCCACTGGTGGACTGAGTGAAAAACTGCACTCCTGACAGCAGGTCAAAAGAGAAGCAGCTGTACGGGAGGTGTAACAGGGGCAGAACAAAGGTAAGATAGCTTGAGAGCAAACAACTACTTTGGCTCTGGTGTGATGGTAGAAACACACAGAGAGAGTGACTGGCTGACGGACACGCAGGCGGAGAAGACTGAGAAAAACAGGCCTGGAGGTTTCTCTGGACCCGCAGAAGATGAAAAATGACTCCACGTTCCACGGTGAGCTGAGGTAAAGCGGGATTTACATAGACTACACACCCCACACAGTGACATCACAAGGGGGACTGGACTATAAATAGATGGGACGGCCTGTCTGAAGGAAAATTCGGGGAACGGTTCCACTGATGTGGACACAGACATGATTACGGTGACATGTCAAAGAAGTAGTACAAAAAAATAAAAAGGAGAGAGAAAGTTGGAATCAGAATCCAGCAGCCTGTAGGGGATTTAAAATTTGCAGAATTAGAAGAGCCAGACGCATCCAGAACTAACCTTGAAAGATCCCCAGAACCCTCGCAGCAAAGCACAGTTGTGAGTGCACGAGTGCACACTACCTGACAAACAGTGGAAACTTAATCCAGGCAGAATCTAAGCCAGCTCTCAAAACAGTAGCTGCTTGCTGAGCATGACACGGGTAGCTCTGAAGAAGGCACCATTAATATTTAAGTCGCGGAGCTGCAACTTTAAAAAGCCTGTACCATAACATCCTGATAAGGTTTTGTATCGCCCTATTCCCATGACACATTTATCAGGGATCTCGTCAAGCTCTGTATACACCAGAGTTTTGCAAGGGGTGGTGGGAGAACTAGTGTTTCAACCAGCGATTCCTATCTACTGCTACTGGCTCTCTAATTGGGCCTGGAAAAGGGAGGGAATAATCTCTGCAGATTGATGACTCCACTCGAGATGTGTTTGTGGTCTATCAGAGAGTGAAATGAGACTGTGGGGATGATGCAGCAGGGGGCTCTCTACCCCCCTATCTCTCTCCAAGATAAAACACCCCAGGCAGATGGGAACAAGTGACCGTCATCACTATCCTCCTCACAAACACATCCTCAATCAGAGTGACAAGCAGCGCGGATGCATCTCCAGCCCTCCGCGGGACACTCGCGAGCAGAAACAGATTAGCCTCGCTGAGTCAGAGAAAGGTGCTGAGACCAGTCGAGTCAGTGCGAGTGATGAGATTAACTCGAGAATGACACATGTGGGAGAGGAATGAGATACGACTGCTCATATTTTGTGTATCTTTTCTAAATCAGGGGCCACGATCAACACAGACATCCATGCACACATCCTGATTCAGCATTCAGATTCTTATATTTAAGTCCTTCCACACATCGTTGAATATGTTTTGAAAGTTGTTCCATGTTCGAGCACATTGTGTACTTCAAAAATAATTTGTGTGGGGCAGTGCCCCCCTGTGGACCCACCACTGGATCCGTCCTTGTAGCTGGTTTTTACCTGAGGTGCAGGCGCCACCCGTCCGCTTGGACCCGCCCTGCTGGAAGAAGGTGTCTTTGCTTTGAGAGCCCTCTTGCCCCGCCTCGACAACTTGCACCTGTTGCAAAGGGGCGCTCCACTTCATGGTGTACTTGGGGCCCACGGGGACGAGGCTGCTGATATCTGGAGGCCCCCTTGCGGATATAAGAAAAGAAGATTAGAGGATTGTGTTGAGAAGGAAAACAACCTGAGAAAAACAACCCCCTCCCCTGCTAACAGCACCCAGACCCAGCTTTTGAAACGTCAAAGGGGGGAACGGGAATTAGAATCTGTATGATCACCCATGTTCCTCCACCAAAAATTGTACCCCTAGCTGTGAGGAGGAGTTCATTGCTATTCATGTATTCATGTAATCACGCAGACAATCAACATTGTGATCGGTTTGTCAAGATCCTGGAGGGCAGACAAAGTCAACTTCGGGACACTCAAGTTGAATGAGACATGGAGCGATAATTACTTTGAAGGCTGAACAAGAGAGCTTTCAGCGACATTTCTGACAGGAGCTTTGCAAAATAAACAAAATCCCTTTCCTGTTTACTTCTCTCAAGAGAGGGAGGGGTGGAGGGAGAGAGAGGGAGATGTGATCAACGGCGCTGTCACAGCAAATAAATTGGAAAGAACTAAAAAATGTTTTATGTCAGTAATCTAGGACTCCTGCAGATGTAGTTAGGCATTCTAGCATTTGTTTAAAGCTGATAAAGCTCCCTGCAATTCCAGATAGTGCCCAAAACCCCCAGCAGCCACCTCGCTTTACTACACAGTTTGCCAAAATATCTTTGCGAAAACCTAGGGCATCACATTAGAGCCCTGTGCCACCTAAATGTGCAGCTTAGCAGACTCCACCTTTAACACACACTTCATGCTAGAACTGGAATTATGGACATGTTAGTAAAGTATTCTTGAAAAACGAGGGCATGTAGCTAAACTTGCTCTCCAACAGGGACTTACTTGACATTTATGTTTGCACAGATGAGTACATCATCAAAGAGGAAGACCTTTCTCTCCTTTGACTTCAGGACTTGTCCCCGCTCGCCGTACACAGTCTCAATAAGCGTCTCACAAAGGACCAGTGACCCCTGCTCCGCGTTCAGTTGCTAAAAGGGACACAGCAATCAGATCAGAGGCGGAGGAGACAGCAACACAAAGGGGCCCGGCACAGAAGAGTGCAGTGCCTGGAGGACGCAGAAGTTAGACTCGGTGGAGCGGATGTCTCATCAGGGATTAGCGGCACATTCATACAGCTGAAGGTCATTTAACACACACACACACACACACACACACACATCTAGAGCCTGTACATCCTGCACATTTAGTGGAAAGAGAGAAAAGACTGTATATGTTCACTATCTTTGCTTTGCAGTGATGAAAGAAACTCTGAAGTCAGTGGAACACAAGGAGCTACCACTGCCATTTTTTATTATTAGTACTAGTATTATTGATAGCAATACTAGTAATAGTAGTAATTTAACAAACACAACACAGTATTTCATGCAAACCTGTTCAAACCGAAAACATACAACTAAGATGAAGGATAGTGATGTACAAAGGTTTCTCCTCTGATGCTACAGAACCCTTGTGATGCTAGGGTCATCAGAATGTATTCTAATACAAGTTAGTGGGATCCTTAGACACGAGTCTGAATTAGGTTTTAACATCTCGTGTTTTAGCCTTGAAACACATTTCAGCATGAATGTTGGTTCAAAATAGTCAAATTAACAGGAACAGGAACTAACTGATGGAGAATTAATCATACATGCATACTAAACATTTTAATGAAGCTACAAGACTGATGGAAACATAATCAAACTACAATAATTCATATCAGACTATTAATCTGATCCACATTTTGATTAACAGCTGGTTTCCCTTGGTTCTGGTTGAGAGTTTAGACCTGAGTCAAACGTATATATGCACATATACAAGCGTCTGAATGTTGTACTGATCACACACAGATGCACAAGACACATGACACATGTATACACATGACACATATATACTCACAACATACTCACATGTGGGACATTAAGCAAATCATCACACGAGCGTATGTGTTCGCTAAACGTCCCCAACGGTGCCACACACAAACAGAGAGAGAGAGATGCACGCAGCCAAAGAATCTAATAACAGATGCATTTTGAGCTACAGTGTTGAGCTGGCACACGCTGTGCTTTCCAGTCATCCATATGTTTGGCAAAAGGAAATAGCAACACAAAGCTTTTTTTAATCACTTTGATCCAGCGTCTTTTATGGCTGCCTAAATCAATACTTTTACTTTTATGCACACTGCGCCGATCTAAGCCAGGCTCGTTACAATTTAAGTGAAGCCACTATACAGCGAGCAGAAGGTTAAGTCCGAAGAAGGAGTTCGCATACATCCTGGCGCTTTGATGTTTGTGTTTGTTCAAAAGGCAAGAAATTTAAGCGAATAATGAATCTCCGGGCTGCGTCTGTTCTACAACCTGCAGTGCAGTAAATGCCTCGGACCACATTTCACAGCGCGGGGACGTCTTATCTGCAGGCAATCTGAGGCTGATTTTGGCTGTGGCTCACACAGCACACAAAATGAATCATTAGTCTGACTGGAGCTGCTATTTGATGGCTACCAAAAAGCATACAGCTCCCTGAAGAGGGCTGCTATAAGAATACATCCCTAAAAGTCTTCAGGCATCAATAGGTACAGGGTGCACTGCAGCAGGCATGTGTGCAAGTGTGTATGTGAAACCCATTCTCGCTCACATTGTTATCTGTCCTATTCTGGTGACTTAGATACTTTGAGACAAAGAATGAATATTTCATCGGATGGTTATGGGGGCAATAGAGTCGACTGTTTCCTATTGGAATTCTGCAGTGTCACCGCGGCAAATGGAATTCTGTGTGGAGTGTGGGAGATTGGCCGAATCAGCTCATCTCAGAGTCCTGGAAAGCAAGGGGTTGATAGAGGGAAATAAAAAGGAGGGTGTGAGAGGCAGGAAGAGAGCGAGAGAGGAGGGAAGACAGAAGAAGATGCAGCCGCACAAGAGGAAGAGAGCGAGAGTTTATAAGTGGAGAGAGAGAGAAGGAGTAGCCACAGACCTCTACACACACACACACACGACTCGAGAGCGAGAGTGGAGGCATGAGAGTGCAAGTGGGGAATAGAGGGGAGGTAAAGTGGAGAGAGAGAGAGCGAGGGAGAGAGTCAGGGTGAAAAAGATAGCTCTCTTACAGTTTCCAATTAAATGTCTCATTTACCCCCTAATTCTTCTTATTCAGAACAGCATTTGTTCCGATTTGTGGCGGCAGGACTGTAATTTCAGCGTGGTAATGGAGAGGCGATACCTCTGCCATCGCAGTTTGCAACTGTTTAGGGACGATAATAGGCATCATTTCTGGGAGATAATTTTCTCTATATAAAAATGCCTCCCCAGATTAATGTGTGGGGAAAGTGATATAAGCGATGTAAGCAATCGCTACATGCTGGTTTAGTTCATAGGTGTTTGGCTGGCAGTGATAACAACGCAGAGGAGGTAAAGGGCTCGGCAACCGGCTCATGGCAGAACGAACGTACTAGACACGTGGAGAGCGAGTGCGTCCAGTCACCTTACTGAGCAGGCGATCGCTGACGCTGCGCGCCAGTTGTTGAGTTTCCGTTATCTGGTCGGCGACTCGCTTCTGTTCATTCAGCTTCTCGGCGAGCATCTCCAGCTCCGTCAGAGCGAGCTGCAGCGGCAGACGGTCCACGTGGCCCTTCGGCGTGTTCTTAAGCATGTCCTAGAAAAGGTCAGGAGGAAAGTTTACGGTAAAGACACGGCACAATTTGAAAGAAATACTAGCCGTCATGTGTAACCTTGGATACACTGAATCCGTTCAAACAGAACTCTAGTACCCATTCACGTTTCAGTTAAAGACAGAAAATAAAGATGGACGACATGAACGGTCCACAAAACTAAAAATCAAAGTACAGAAAAAGATTTTTTTATCAAAAGACAGTTTGTGTTTTAATCAGTAACTTGAGCAACTTGTAATGAAAAGGGGGTTGAAACATTTTCACTACTGCTCAGCTTCTGGTTTCAAATGACATGAAAAAGCCCCAGATGGCAAAACCCAAATCCACAATATTTCAGCTTAATGTCCAACAGGAGGAAGTAGAGATGCGTCCATCTGAATTCACGGTCTATGGTTCATTCGTGTTCCTCACTGATGTGCAGCATTGGCTCAAATAAATTTGAAATCTCCAAACCATCAAACCATGCGTAACCACAGGCTGCGGCAGGTCCATGGTTATGTTGATATCTATGTTTATTCTGCATCTATGACTCACTGAGAGTTCTGTGTTGTCTTGATATGCATCTCAGATGAACATCAACGCCTCGAGCTCCAGTTCCCAGTAATGTAATGATTTCATACATCCACTTCCTCTTTGGAGCGGTGAGTTTGGGCTGGAAGCAAATGCCTGATTCACATTCATAACTTATCTTTTGAATTCATGGATAATCAATGCTTACTGAGGGATGAAATGGGCTGCTGCAGATCTAGTCAAGTCAAGCTCAAATCCAAATCTTTGCCCAGAATAGAAAGTAGAGGAGCAGGGGATGTGGAGCCAGCAGGACGAAGAGCTGATGTGGCTCGCTGCTTGTATGTAAAAGTTGAGTAAAAGTATGTGAGGTAAGACTTCTCGCACTAAAATTTTAAATCCAGGTAAAAGCCCTGCAGCTCTGCACCTTTATTAGTGCTCACGCTGCTAAATATTTAATCTGACTGAAGCCTCTCATACTGGATGTGTTTAAGCTTGTAAGACAAACAAGAGTTTATACCTGCAGGAGCAGAATGAACTGAGGGAATCGCTGAATGGGCTTCACCATCAGGCCGTACAGAGTGATGCGGTCAACACTGGATGCCTGCTTCTTCTGGGAATACAAAAAAAATAGAAGAAAAATAAAACTAGACACACACATTTGGAAATATATTCCTACAGAGAAAGGCCATTATGAGGAAACTACGCTACTCCTACTTGAAGAGGCGCTTGTCAGAAGACTGTATAGACCGGGAGTGGGTGTGTGAGTGGGTGAATAATTCTCTTCTTTTTTTTTTTAGCATGTCTTGTTTAATGTATTAATGTGGGCAGAGGTCGGGAGAAGATGTCGGTGTCACGTCAAGTCTGTGGCATCATGAAAGCATCTGCATAAAGCAGCAAACCACTATGTTTGCTGGTTAAAGGTCCGAGATCAACTGAGAGACAGAGAAAATATAGGGAAATTATTTTTATATAAAGATTTGTTCCAGGAACTTCAGAGTTATTGCATCATCGGCTATAAAGTGCAGCAGCTAATATAATTTCCTGAGGCATGAAGAAACTTTTTTCACTTGTAAGATGACACATAGATTAGACCTGAACATCAGTTTGATTTATACTTTAGTTTTGAATTAATTGGTTTGACACTGATGTTCTGATATAAGTAGATATTGATGATTGTAATATAATGACTCAGCCTAAATTTGACTTAATGTTGCAGTCTATTAAATGTAGAAATATTTCATCTTATCTGTGTGATGAATGATGAATACCTTTAGTTTTCTGGTCATCACAGTCACATTATTACACCAGTCAGTCACTGTCACATTCTATATCATCACAAACTGGATAACATCTTATTACATTAATAAAGTTCATGAAAACAACCACAAATGCAAAGAATTCAGTGCAGAAAGTGCGAGGGTCGGGGTTGATTGACAGCCGTCAATCAAAAACTCAAAAGCCACTAAAACTCGACCAAGTGAAAGGTTTTTGCCAGAAAGGCAAAGAAAGCTAAAATCAGCCAACGAGAGAATTGGCAGCAAAGTCGACACTGATGGCAAGAGTCTGATCACAGGGAGGGAAGCAGAGGGAGAAGTGAACTTAAGAGGAATTAGTTTCACTTTTGAGATGAGATCTACATTTATTATTATTGTGTGAGTGTGCAAATGCAAAACAACTCAACAACGCATGGATTGTTGAATTAGTTTATGCTGAATCCTTCTTGCCCGATAAATCTTTATGGATGTTTTAACGACCACCGACACAGGTAGGATTATTTGTGAGTGAGAGAGAGAGGGAGGGCGAGGAGCGTGATTCCTTGTGTTCTATTTGATGCCATTTGGTTTCAAGTTTTAGAAATAATCTAGGTAACAGCATTTGGTAGCATTATTAATTATGGGATGTTGATGTTCTGTGCAGTTGACAGGTTTTTAAGGTGGGACAGTATTTTGGAAATTTTGCTTTTGAGGGAATAGTCTCCCTCATTATATTGACAAAAACCTTTGTTGCAGATGTTTGAGATTTCTATTCTACCAAAAATGTTGCATCTCCACCAAATGCAGCTCTCACATTACATCATGATGTCCGCCAACTGAATCCAGACTCATAATTCACGAGTCCCAATCCCTGCTAATGTTCTTTGCATGCTCAGGATCACGGGCCTCGACAATATTTTAAAAAACAACATAATGTCCGTCATTTATTCCGTTTGGTTGCTTTTTCCAGTCTGTGTCATACCAATTTATTATTAGTTTTTTCTTCACGCTGCCAGTGCGAGCTGCGACAGTCAGTGAGAGAGACAGAGGAACCTTTCAGCAGACAGAAAGGGATGCATGTTATCTGGAGTAACATGCAGGGCTGTCAGCTGTGTGATCTGGTTCTATAAATCAGCATTACAGCTCAATGATCCAGGTACATACTCATGCATGAATGCCGGGGCACACAGGGAATTGTAAACTCAGTATATTCAAATCAATTCTTGGCACCGTCCATGCACGTTGGCAGAATGTTCCATTGTTCGCAGTCCTTAATTAATATCAGAAATGTTAAGTAAACAGAGGGACACATCATAATTGTCTTGTTGGGGGAAACTGTCCACTTTCCATTTCTCATTATAGATTAATCAAATGTGTAAAATCTCCTATATCTGTGAATTGGTCTGTGATTTAATTGAGGTTTCTGGCATTTATCCATCCATTGCACAACGTGTGAGCTTTTAAAGACACATTATCAGAAGATTTCAAGACAGAGAATGAGAGAAAAATACAAATACAGGCTAGTTATTGTCAGACAGCATGAATACAGGCAATTTTCATTACCTGGAAATCCTTGGGCATTTCGAGGCAGTGAATTCTATATCACTAAGGAATATATTATTTCTATCCATTCATCCCTTATACAGCTCACCCTTTCAAGGTCATGGAGGTCTGGAGCCGAATATTATTTATAGATTCTAATATTCAAAATACAATGTACAAAGAGTATTAGGGACATATTGAAGAAAGAAAATATGAGTAAATACATTTGATTTCAGGGAGAATGTTATTATTATTTTGCATAAATAAAGCCATTTAATAGCAAAGAGCTAATCATATTTTGTAAGTATTCAGTTAGTAAAGTATAACTTTGCAAGATGCTCCACATTTCTCATTTAAACGCAGGAGACAAATCTTCTGATATTTCTCCTTCACAATATATTACATTACACATTACACCATCATAAAAGTACCCACATGAAAATGAGCATTTTCTGTTTTCTGTTCTACACACTGAATTATTTGGAAACCTGAGATTTATCATTGAGGCCTTTGGGTAGTTTGTTACCACAAACTAAAAGAGGAACAGAAAACAGGTGGGTTCCTTTAATTTGAAAACTTAGAGAACTAAAATAATTTTATGTAAATGGTCTGAAACTCACCTTTAAGAATTCCAGAAAGGCTGGTTTGGACATGCAGGCCTTTTTAATTAGAGCCATGGCCCCGGTGAAGTTGTTCACGTAATCACTGTATACATCCAGCACCATCGACTTGGAAAACTGTGGAAACAGACACAAGCATAATCACCTGAATTTGTGACAACAGCCCTATAATGAGAAGGTCTACTGCTCTGCCACGTTTGATTATTTTGTCTTTACACCAGCATCCACAGACGCAGTCAGGTAATTTCCTCTGACATCTCGAATGTCTGGCTAACCATCCTGTTCGCAGGGCGACCCGAGGGTAATTTCAATGAAAAGGGGGAGGCTGGAAAATGGCCATTTAAGTATAGTGCTTAAAAAAATTGGTTTGTTTACCATCCCCGGTTACTGCAACACCCTTCACGAGCCATTTAAGAGGTCGGGCAAGAAAGTATGTGTGTGTTTGTGTGTGTCTGTTGTGCGGAAGACATTTGTTCTCTCTCCTCAATTAAACCCACACCAGGCAGCTGATAGTAGCAGTGGGGAATTAGCAAATCACATGAAGGAATTAACCTTCATTGCTCACACCCTCCTTTAGGATCCTGCCTCTGAGATATTACCAGAAGCCCCACAGGTTTGGAGACATCGCCACATGACGAAGGGGCGGCTCAGAGAGGAGTGCACGGTCCCAGCACTGGCCTCATTTGGTGGCAGGTCTTAGGATATCAATAGAACAGAGCTGTAATGGCCAGCGGAGAAAGAGAGGGTCGAACGCACCCCTCTAATAGGCAAATAATGAGTGGACCTTATGGATGAGCACACTGCAGAGACTCACACTGAACAGTAATATTCTAGTGACAGAATTTGTGGACACATATCCCAGAGAGATTCATCTCGGCCATAATTGATTCCGTGTTTGGAGTAAACTATCCCTGTTTGCTCAATCTAAAAACCTGTAGCTCATTAAAACTCTGGGGTAGCAGAGATTGTGTTGCAAGGATACACAGAGACATCATGAAAAATAGGTTTCTACCCAGAGTGCAAGGCTTTGTTTTGCATTTTGTGCACAAAAAACAAAAGGCACGGCAAATAGGACCCTGGTTTGTTGTTCCATTTCACACGTATAAAGATGTACACAGGAAAAAAAAAATGCACACTAACCGAGGCGACAAATAAGTCTCCAATTTTCTCGCTGCTGTCCCACTCAGCCACTCGAGACGCCAGTGCAATCTGGAACATGGAGTGGCACTGCGTGATCTCCCTGATTCGGTAAAATATGGGGCGGATCTTCCTCGGACTCAGGATGCGTGGATCTGCTTCCATCAACGGTCTGTGGTATTCCTGGTGAGATCGAGAGAGAAAATAGGGTTTTTATTGTTGGCGGTATATGTACATGTACATGTATATGTGTGTGTGGGTGTGTGTGTGTGTGTGGGTGGGTGCGTCAGATGAATCTGCTGTCACTCACCCCTGTTAAGAGTCTCTTCTATTCACCAGCGTAAATAGACAAGTGAGAGGTAACTGACAAATATCCCATGAATCGGCTATAATGAGGAAATGTAGTCATGCTGCCTGGAAGCACATCAATCCAGAGGATTCACCCATAAAGAAGCATTTGCCACGAGCAAACATGTTTAGAACTCAAGGTGACTTGTAATCATAAAAGCCAGAATAATAATGGCCAAGAAGCAGCTCCCAGCAGAGTTACAGATGCAAAAGCAACATGGTGAAAGGGGTATTGACTGTTTCTTCACTCGGTGCTCATGAGGATATTAGCATTGCCTATGGAACGATGTTGACAAGCAACCCAGTAAACACGACTTCTTTGAATCTGAACCTACTGAAGTGTAGATAATATCGTGTAAAGGCAAAACCAGGAAGATGGAAACAAACATTAATGCAACTGAATTTTCTGGAGGGGCTTTGTGAGAGAACGCAGGACATTCTAAATGTTTTTCTTGCCAGCCACCAGAATAATAAAAACTCTGGAGAATGACAGAGTGACTCCACATGAGAATAAAGAGCGGTAATGTCCGGAGGATTCACCGCGAGCGGGTGGGTGTGTTTGACATTTTTAAAACGTGTGGGATGAAACGTCATGTCCTGCCTCCTGCTGCTCTACCCAGACGCCACCTGATGTTTCGAAAGTTTTATGTCTTCGAATCTGTCACTGAATCATCGACGGAGGGAACAGGGACGGGGCGGCGCAACACGAACAACCGTTTTACAGTGAAAAAGTAAAGTTACAACCCTCGGTGTCTAATTGTGCTCGTGACCTTTCATCATTTTATGTCTTTATCTCTCTGGAGATGCTGCATTTACCGCTTGACTCAACTCTGTGGACTGAGAAGAGAGACTTTCAAAGAGCATCCCCCACGTAGCACGAACAATCAAGTCTCTCAGCAACAAATGTGGCACATCATATCCTGACAGTGAAGGATTTTGCGGTGCATGAGGTAGCCATTGATTGCTGCTGATTGCATTTCAGTGGGTGCTCCTCTCATTTTTTGTGATTAAGCGATAACAAGTCTCCTTTTCCCCACCAAAAAACAAAAAAGGCTGCGCCGCGTCCCGAGCACGTCTGACAGTCTCTTTCTCTTAGCATCAACACCGCGCCGCAGAAACCTGATAGGTTTGTTTTATCAGGATTATTTATGCCCAGACACTTCTGTAATTTGATGGATATCACCACTTCTCCTTCTGGTGTAATTCATAATGGCTAAATGGTGAAGATATTGCATGTGGCAGAGGAGGACACCGGGGACTGAACAACTCACCTGCAGGATTCTCCTGAGAGATTCCAGGTAGCTGCGCTCGCTCTGAATGATGGAGCTGAGGATATGGCGTCTGACAACCTGCATAGACAACAGACCAGTCAGTTAATCCAGCGCTAAGGGGACATGATGGGGCAACAGTGTGCAGTATGTTTTCAGTGAAACGTGGTGCACGTTGATAGACTGAACTATAATCATGAGTTTGTCACAGGAGGAAAAAGAGTGAAAGTGGGGAGGGTCTGTTTGAGCAAGGCCTCTGAATCATCAGATTACCTATGACATGAAAACGCCTGCTCTGGCACTTAGTGTAAAATTATAAAACATGACGTGTTTCCAAACAGGGAAAAGAGAAGAATACATAAAAATACATGTGTAAAATACTTAAATAATTAATTACTACTATTAAACACGACACACTAGAGCCTTTCACATACGTGCAAGACATTCATTTCAGAGCATGTTTCCACATAAGCAGGTTAGACGTCTATCCACTGCTGATCTTTCCGTCTGTTTGTGCACACCTCCAGAACCGTCAGCGTCACACTTGGCTTTTGTTTTGTTAAGGGCCAAAGGAAGTGCAGTGTTGAATGTGGTGGGATTTGGATACGCTATGTAATATTAATAAACTTTGAATACACAGGTGACCAGTCGATCGCAACAGCGTGTTCACGATGACAACACTCCAGTTAGCGGTTCTGCGTCAAGATTCACTGAACTTTGAATGAACATGTTAACTGCTCTTTGTGCAGCAGCAGTGTGACACAGCTTCTGGGTTCCGTGGACTGCAGCGGGCTTTTATTTGACACGGCTCAATTACTGCAGGTCACGAAAAGCTGCAACCAGCATTAACACAGGCCAAGCAAACCGGCAGGTTTACAACGAGGCACTGCACTAGCATAGAGAAGAAAAATAGATATCTGCAAAAAAAAAAAGCGTGAGGTGCACCTGGTGGCTGGTCAGCCCCTCCGGCATGGGACTCAGTTGTGGGGGAGGGTGCTTCATTTCCGACACAGCCACATCCAGGTATCCTGCATCATCCTCCTCCTCTGCAATCAGAAATGATGGAGAGAA